AACAGAGCAGCTCTACGAAACTATTTTCGTTGCATGGAGTACTAAAATGCTGATATTTTACAACTCCCCATCTTGACCCTTTTCGTACCCGTAGTGCTAGTGTCCACCTAGTACGCAAGAGTTCACACGTTGTGCACAACCTCACGGTTTACGAATATTTGTTAGCTTTTTTCGTTAACATTTTTCGTTGCGGTACTACAAATTTCCGTTGTCTGCAATAAGCCTGGCCCAAATTTGCCGGCAATGCTTCCAGCAAAAAATTTGAAATTTCCCACGAAAAGAAATTGCTGGCAAATTCCGAGCAAAATATCGATATAGAAGATCCGGGTGTGTTTTGGCAATTTTATTCTAATTTCTTTGGCTTCATTGGGCCAATTTCGTCCTGAAATAGCTCACACATGTTGTCAGGGGTACATAAATTTGAAATCGTGCCACAAAACATCCGTACTGCTGACACCACTTGCAGTTTTGCTTTCCTCATCTGAGTCACCATCCAACTTCTATGTGAATATCATATGACTGCTGTTGCTTGTGGGCCCTGACTGCTTGGTGGCTGTCACATAACTGTCATGTGACCCCTGTCGTCTTTTTGCTACTGCAATGCAGGCATGATGATAGAGAGCATGGCCGGAAAGTCGGCATCGCTTCACGGACAGTGCTATGACGCTACTCCCTTCACATTCTCCGAGAAAGACTCGGCTATTGATCATTTTGGCCGTTCTCTAGTTGAAGGTAAGTAGTGGTAATATACCGAATATTCGAATGTTCGTTCGGTTTGTCACATTCGAACGAATATTTCTCATGGCGAATATTCGCTAACCGGGTATGCAGAGTTTACCGGGCGACTTCAAACTTCCGTAACTTTGCGAATACTTGACCGAACCGCTTCATCGAAAGTTCCATCGGCATTCGAAAACTCTCAGCTGTCGTCTCGAAGCAACCCGGACGCGATCCGAGGTCCTGGAATGGATTTATGGCGGTCGAACGAAAAATCACGTCTTAAGCTGTTTTTTGAGCGTGTAAAATGCACTTCAGCTGGGGATTTTGTGAAAATTGACCTAGAAATGGTGGAAAAATATGTGCCTTCGTTTGTCATGCCTAATAATAGTGACAATATCCAATAAAATGACTGAGAGGAGGGCGTGTGATGTCATCCGTGTTAACGAAGGAATATTCGTTCGTTCGTTAACCCTTTGCCGGTCTAACTCAATGTATGTGAGGGGTGGTCACGCAAATACATGTACACACAACCAGCAATAACTCAAGAACCATGTGATGTAGGTATGGGTACACCATATATTTTCAAAATCTGTATGCCTGAACGCGTCCAGAAAATTCAAATATGACTAGGTCCAGGCAAGGATAGGGCCCATGGTAGCCCTTCCAGTTGAGAGAAAATACAATTGCGAATGAAATACACGAATATCACACCACGAAGGGCATACCAAGTTCGTGATGGAGCTGAAGTCGTACGATAAACAATCAGGTAAGGGCTACGTCTTTACAAGAAATGTAGGCTCTCTACAATACCGCCATTGAACACCAACACCTCGCCATCGGCGATACGCCAGCAGCAGCAATTCCCATTCCACGATATCGCAGTTTCGGTTTGTTCATCTCAGCGCTGCTCGCGTCAGATTCACTCTCGCTCAGATGAGTACTCAGGCGCGAGCTTACGCATGCCGTGATTCTCACGGCCAGGCGAATCAGCTGATCGCACCTGACGAGTCCTTGTGACAGTCGCTGTCGCCGTGTCAGCAGCAAGAAGGCTTCCTCTCTGTTTGGAGAATTTTGTTTCTTCATTCGTGGACGATATATTTTTGAACTAGCAGGACTCAACGGAGCTCTTTTTCTCAACACACTACACTGCAAAACCTCCCGGGACATCCAGCCTGGACTGGTGATGTTACTGCTCTCAGAACGCTTGTCAAACACGGCCCCAAGAGATGCACTCGCATTCTTGAAATGCGCGCATGGCGGATGGTCGTCTTTTCCAATTTCAACAAACTTCAGTCGATCGATACGGCAAAAATTTGTATGGTAAGCATGGTTGTTTTGCACATCGTCAGAAAGCCTTGGACTTCAGCTACGCGTAGAGCGCCATTTTAGCTGTCTCCTAGCAACAAGACCCCGAAAAAATGAGGGCTAAACGTACCGATACTATAGTATCGGTACGCTTATGGTAGACCGGTAAAGGGTTAAGCCAAAGAATATTCGGCTACTGGGTTTTGATATTCGTTTCACCACTAAAGGTCAGCCGGTGATACTGCAGTGGTGCCCAATGCACGTGTCATGTTTTGTACGAAGTCGCGGCAACAACTGTCGCGACAAGAAAAAAATTGGTTCGATTCGAACCAGTTTGTCCCGTTGCCAGGCATGTTTGTCTTACGTGAATTACCGTACTCGTGCGATTACCGTAGTTCCGCGCATATAAGCCCATGGGCTAATATACGAAATAATGCATTTTCCGGGAAAAAAATCAGTAATGGTTCGTTTTTAGCCCTGGGCCTATATTCGAATTCTGAAGGCAGCTGGCACGCGAAAAAGTACAAGTCCGTGCGCGGTTGTCCGCCTACCGTAGGTACCGGTACTGGTAATGTAGTCTGCACTGACATGCTGTACTATCGGTTCCGTAACAGCGGTTGGGTCTGTTTATTAGCCCATGGGCCTATGAACGGAGGTGGGCTTATATCCGGATATAGGCCCGTGGGCTTATATGCGCGGAACTACGGTAGTGCCCCTGCAACACATTTTTTTCAACATCCATCCACAGATGGGGCACTATCTTTTCAATGCTGGTACATTGACGTCATCCGGCATAAAAACAAAGAATAATACAGAATAATAATGAGAAATAAGAATATGCATGCTGATGATACACCGCATTGTCGATGTAAAACTTGGTACCTGTACAAGAGTCGACAAGCCATCAACAAGGTTGAAATGTAAAAAATATTTAAAAAATTAAAAATTATTGGTGCTGCTTTGGCCGCACCTGCCGCACCAGTTCCGACGCCGCTGTTACTATAGAGCACAGAGTGCTGTTGACATCGGTTTGTCATGTGTCTAGATTACTATAGAGCACAGAGAGCTGTTGACATCGGTTTGTCATGTGTCTAGATTACTATAGAGTACAGAGAGCTGTTGACATCGGTTTGTCATGTGTCTAGATTACTATAGAGTACAGAGTGCTGTTGACATCGGTTTGTCATGTGTCTAGATTACTATAGAGTACAGAGAGCTGTTGACATCGGTTTGTAATGTAACTAGATCTGTGTGGAAAGTGATCTGGTCATGTGATACCTGCCGCGCGCACACCGGAGCCATCGAAGAACTGTACAACAGAGTAAAGCAACGAGTATCAAAAAAGCAAACAAGGAGTGCTAGGGCGCTGTCTCGCCCGGCGGTATTTTATTCATGAGGTTGGATTTCTCTAGCCAGTACTATACAATGTACATAGAGCAACAGCTGGTCATGAGGTTGGATTTCTCTAGCCAGCACTATACAATGTACATAGAGCAACAGCTGGTCATGAGGTTGGATTTCTCTAGCCAGCACTATACAATGTACATAGAGCAACAGCTGGTCATGAGGTTGGATTTCTCTAGCCAGTACTATACAATGTACATAGAGCAACAGCTGGTCTTGAGGTTGGATTTCTCTAGCCAACACTGTACAATGTACATAGAGCAACAGCTGGTCTTGAGGTTGGATTTCTCTAGCCAGTACTGTGCAATGTAAATAGAGCAACAGCTGGTCTTGAGGTTGGATTTCTCTAGCCAGTACTGTACTAAGCACCTCGGCTGGTATTGCCGAAGATGCAGCAGTTCTGATCCTATGCCATTGTGTGTTGCCATGCCTGCAGCCGGCTACAGTTACTATGGGAACGAGCGCTTCTACAGCGGAGTTGGAGGCGAGGAACTGGAAGCCGACATCTTTGTCGGAACAGTATACTATCAACGCTTGCGTCATATGGTGTCGGATAAGTTTCAGGTGAGTACCACAGTGTGTTCTGCAGCAAGTTTAGGCATGTGTCTCTCAAGCCGGGAAAAAGAGTTCCAACCCCGTAGTCGGTTCGGGATCTCAAATTGTTTTGTTGTAGTCTCGCTGGCTGGGTAATCTAGTGCTCGGCAACAAGTTTAGGGCATGCGTCTCTCAATCCGTTATGCACAGTGTGTTGTGTCAGTGTGTTGTGTACAGTGTGTTATGTACAGGGTGTTGTGTGTTGTGTGTTGTGCCCAATGTGCTGTGTGTGTAGCAATAAGGAGCCACGGGTGTGTGTGATCCTGGGTAGCCTAATCCGAAGGGCACTGTTCCAGAAAGAAAGGGTTGCTGGGTTCGGATCTCGCTCTTGGATTCTTCTTTTGCAACATTTGAACCTGTCAGGCGGTGTAGCAAGAAGGACCCCTGGGTTTTGGTGATCCCTGGTAGCCTAATCCAAAGGGCAGTGTCCCTGAAAGACTGAGATGCTGGGTTGCAATCCCGCTCTTGGATCCCTCTTTTGCAACATGTGTTGTCTGTTGGGCACAGTGTGTTTTGTGCTGTGTAGTGTGTTGTGTACAGTGTGTTGGGTGTTGGGTGTTTTCTTCTCTTTCTCATTCTCCTAGCTCTTCTTTCATTCTCCTGGGTGGCTACCAACGGCCAGTGTATGCCGTAGTATGGGGTGCGGTGTGTGTAATAAACAAGAAGAAAAAATGAAAAAAAATGAAAAATAGGGATTCACTGGCCAGAAAAAAGCCACTTCAATCAGCTGTGTAGTGGATACCGGGCTAAAAATTAGTGGCGGTCAATTCATCAGCCTTGCAAGCTGTTGAATGGTGTAGTCCCGGCACAAGTTTCTATGTCTAGCATAGCTGTTCGCTATCATCGCTTCCGCTATGGGCATGTCTGACGTCTGAGGTGTTATGTACAGCGTGTTGTGTGTTGTGTGTTGTGCCCAATGTGCTGTGTGTGTAGCAATAAGGAGCCACGGGTGTGTGTGTGATCCTGGGTAGCCTAATCCGAAGGGCACTGTTCCAGAAAGAAAGGGTTGCTGGGTTCTGATCTCGCTCTTGGATTCTTCTTTTGCAACATTTGAACCTGTCAGGCGGTGTAGCAAGAAGGACCCCTGGGTTTTGGTGATCCCTGGTAGCCTAATCCAAAGGGCAGTGTCCCTGAAAGACTGGGATGCTGGGTTGCAATCCCGCTCTTGGATCCCTCTTTTGCAACATGTGTTGTCTGTTGGGCACTGTGTTTTTTGTGCTGTGTAGTGTGTTGTGTACAGTGTGTTGGGTGTTGGGTGTTTTCTTTTCTTTCTCATTCTCCTAGCTCTTCTTTCATTCTCCTGGGTGGCTACCAACAGCCAGTGTATGCCGTAGTATGGGGTGCGGTGTGTGTGTGTGTAATAAAAAAGAACAAAAAGAAAAAAATGAAAGATGAAAAATGAAAAATAGGGATTCACCAGCCAGAAAAAAGCCACTTCAATCAGCTGTGTAGTGGATGCCGGGCTAAAAATTAGTGGCGGTCAATTCATCAGCCTTGCAAGCTGTTGAATGGTGTAATCCCGGCACAAGTTTCTATGTCTAGCATAGCTGTTCGCTATCATTGCTTCCGCGATGGGCATGTCTGACGTCTGAGGTGTTATGTACAGCGTGTTGTGTGTTGTGTGTTGTGCCCAATGTGCTGTGTGTGTAGCAATAAGGAGCCACGGGTGTGTGTGATCCTGGGTAGCCTAATCCGAAGGGCACTGTTCCAGAAAGAAAGGGTTGCTGGGTTCTGATCTCGCTCTTGGATTCTTCTTTCGCAACATTTGAACCTGTCAGGCGGTGTAGCAAGAAGGACCCCTGGGTTTTGGTGATCCCTGGTAGCCTAATCCAAAGGGCAGTGTCCCTGAAAGACTGGGATGCTGGGTTGCAATCCCGCTCTTGGATCCCTCTTTTGCAACATGTGTTGTCTGTTGGGCACAGTGTGTTTTGTGCTGTGTAGTGTGTTGTGTACAGTGTGTTGGGTGTTGGGTGTTTTCTTCTCTTTCTCATTCTCCTAGCTCTTCTTTCATTCTCCTGGGTGGCTACCAACGGCCAGTGTATGCCGTAGTATGGGGTGTGGTGTGTGTAATATGAAGACAGAAGAAAAAAATGAAAGATGAAAAATGAAAATTAGGGATTCACTGGCCAGAAAAAAGCCACTTCAATCAGCTGTGTAGTGGATACCGGGCTAAAAATTAGTGGCGGTCAATTCATCAGCCTTGCAAGCTGTTGAATGGTGTAATCCCAGCAAAAGTTTCTATGTCTAGCATAGCTGTTCGCTATCATCGCTTCCGCGATGGGCATGTCTGACGTCTGAGGTGTTATGTACAGCGTGTTGTGTGTTGTGTGTTGTGCCGAATGTGCTGTGTGTGTAGCAATAAGGAGCCACGGGTGTGTGTGATCCTGGGTAGCCTAATCCGAAGGGCACTGTTCCAGAAAGAAAGGGTTGCTGGGTTCTGATCTCGCTCTTGGATTCTTCTTTTGCAACATTTGAACCTGTCAGGCGGTGTAGCAAGAAGGACCCCTGGGTTTTGGTGATCCCTGGTAGCCTAATCCAAAGGGCAGTGTCCCTGAAAGACTGGGATGCTGGGTTGCAATCCCGCTCTTGGATCCCTCTTTTGCAACATGTGTTGTCTGTTGGGCACGGTGTTTTTTTGTGCTGTGTAGTGTGTTGTGTACATTGTGTTGGGTGTTGAGTGTTTTCTTCTCTTTCTCATTCTCCTAGCTCTTCTTTCATTCTCCTGGGTGGCTACCAACGGCCAGTGTATGCCGTAGTATGGGGTGTGGTGTGTGTGTAATAAACAAGAAGAAAAAATGAAAAAAATGAAAAATAGGGATTCACTGGCCAGAAAAAAAGCCACTTCAATCAGCTGTGTAGTGGATACCGGGCTAAATATTAGTGGCGGTCAATTCATCAGCCTTGCAAGCTGTTGAATGGTGTAATCCCGGCACAAGTTTCTATGTCTAGCATAGCTGTTCGCTATCATCGCTTCCGCGATGGGCATGTCTGACGTCTGAATTGTTATGTACAGCGTGTTGTGTGTTGTGTGTTGTGCCCAATGTACTGTGTGTGTAGCAATAAGGAGCCACGGGTGTGTGTGTGATCCTTGGTAGCCTAATCCGAAGGGCACTGTTCCAGAAAGAAAGGGTTGCTGGGTTCTGATCTCGCTCTTGGATTCTTCTTTTGCAACATTTGAACCTGTCAGGCGGTGTAGCAAGAAGGACCCCTGGGTTTTGGTGATCCCTGGTAGCCTAATCCGAAGGGCAGTGTCCCTGAAAGACTGGGATGCTGGGTTGCAATCCCGCTCTTGGATCCCTCTTTTGCAACATGTGTTGTCTGTTGGGCACGGTGTTTTTTGTGCTGTGTAGTGTGTTGTGTACAGTGTGTTGGGTGTTGGGTGCTTTCTTTTCTTTCTCATTCTCCTAGCTCTTCTTTCATTCTCCTGGGTGGCTACCAACGGCCAGTGTATGCCGTAGTATGGGGTGTGGTGTGTGTGTAATAAAAAAGAAGAAAAAAATGAAAAAAAAATGAAAAATAGGGATTCACTGGCCAGAAAAAAGCCACTTCAATCAGCTGTGTAGTGGATACCGGGCTAAAAATTAGTGGCGGTCAATTCATCAGCCTTGCAAGCTGTTGAATGGTGTAATCCCGGCACAAGTTTCTATGCCTAGTATAGCTGTTCGCTATCATCGCTTCCGTGATGGGCATGTCTGACGTCTGAGGTGTTATGTACAGCGTGTTGTGTGTTGTGCCCAATGTGCTGTGTGTGTAGCAATAAGGAGCCACGGGTGTATGTGATCCTGGGTAGCCTAATCCGAAGGGCACTGTTCCAGAAAGAAAGGGTTGCTGGGTTCTGATCTCGCTCTTGGATTCTTCTTTTGCAACATTTGAACCTGTCAGGCGGTGTAGCAAGAAGGACCCCTGGGTTTTGGTGATCCCTGGTAGCCTAATCCAAAGGGCAGTGTCCCTGAAAGACTGGGATGCTGGGTTGCAATCCCGCTCTTGGATCCCTCTTTTGCAACATGTGTTGTCTGTTGGGCACAGTGTGTTTTGTGCTGTGTAGTGTGTTGTGTACAGTGTGTTGGGTGTTGGGTGTTTTCTTCTCTTTCTCATTCTCCTAGCTCTTCTTTCATTCTCCTGGGTTGCTACCAACGGCCGGTGTATGCCGTAGTATGGGGTGCGGTGTGTGTGTATTAAACAAGAAGAAAAAATGACGAAAATGAAAAATAGGGATTCACTGGACAGAAAAAAGCCACTTCAATCAGCTGTGTAGTGGATACCGGGCTAAAAATTAGTGGTGGTCAATTGATCAGCCTTGCAAGCTGTTGAATGGTGTAATCCCGGCACAAGTTTCTATGTCTAGCATAGCTGTTCGCTATCATCGCTTCCGCGATGGGCATGTCTGACGTCTGAGGTGTTATGTATAGCGTGTTGTGTGTTGTGCCCAATGTGCTGTGTGTGTAGCAATAAGGAGCCACGGGTGTGTGTGTGATCTTGGGTAGCCTAATCCGAAGGGCACTGTTCCAGAAAGAAAGGGTTGCTGGGTTCTGATCTCGCTCTTGGATTCTTCTTTTGCAACATTTGAACCTGTCAGGCGGTGTAGCAAGAAGGACCCCTGGGTTTTGGTGATCCCTGGTAGCCTAATCCAAAGGGCAGTGTCCCTGAAAGACTAGGATGCTGGGTTGCAATCCCGCTCTTGGATCCCTCTTTTGCAACATGTGTTGTCTGTTGGGCACTGTGTTTTTTGTGCTGTGTAGTGTGTTGTGTACAGTGTGTTGGGTGTTGGGTGTTTTCTTCTCTTTCTCATTCTCCTAGCTCTTCTTTCATTCTCCTGGGTGACTACCAACTGCCAGTGTATGCCGTAGTATGGGGTGCGGTGTGTGTGTATTAAACAAGAAGAAAAAAATGACGAAAATGAAAAATACGGATTCACTGGCCAGAAAAAAGCCACTTCACAATCAGCTGTGTAGTGGATACCGGGCTAAAAA